TTTTTTTTCTGATGAAACAACAAAAACAATGTAACATTCATCATAATATTCTCTCTTTTTAAATTTGAAATAAATTTTTTGTAAACCCTAATACATTTAACATTCCACATTTTCATTGTACAGTCTTCTGAAGCTAAGGTTACTCTCTGGAACTATAGTCAAATTCCAATAGAATTCATCTATAAAATTAGATGTATTCAGCATTTAACAATATGTAATAAAATTATATTTCTAAGGCCAAAAACCAACAAAGTGTATAAATATGTGAAAACTAAAGATCAACTGTTTATGATGTCCGTAGCTGGATGCACAAATAGAAAATTATTTGTATAATGACTTATATGTTAATTATTTATATAAAATTTCATGTTCTCGAAATTAATATTTATACTTTGACTAGTTATTCCTACTTGAATACAGTCATGTAGTTAAGATTTTTAATGTGAAATCTAAGTCCTTAAAAACAAACATATAGAAGAAAGAAGAACTAGGGCACATATATTTAATAATGTTCATTAATCACCTATTATCATAAGTAAATAACCAATTAACACATTTTACTATAAACATTAGTTTTTGAAATGTTATTGCTACTCTCTGCTAAAAGATTAGCTTGCTAAGGCAATGTGGTGCCTGGATTATTTCTGTCTAGAAATATTTTACAGTATTTGTGGTGATATTAATGTAGTATATTAGGCATGAGAAAAATTAGAGTATATAAAATTAGAATGATTGTAATAAATTCCCAGAAAGTGGAAAGATTGATTTTAGCTCATCAATGAAACACTAGCAAAGGACTTGTATATTTTTTTTATTTATATTGAAAACCATGATTACAATGTATTTTTGTTATTTTGGCTGAGATCTAGATGTCTAATACCCTAGAATTGTGCAGCTGGAATAACTAGGTAGCATTCAAATACTTGGAAAACATTCACAACCAATTAACAAGTTGACTTTGATTAGCACTACTCTTGAAAATGTCATTGTACCTCCCCTAGGAGGAGATATGTTTCTGAGCATTTTGAATGAAACATGAACACCAAGCACTCAATTTTTCTTAGAAGAAAGGTAAATGAGATACAGTGTTTTAAAATCAATGTTATGAGGGTGAAACATGAATGAAGAAGGAGTCAAAAGACCCTTCCTCTTATATGTTGGTGAAGCACTCACATGGAGGCATGCCATTTTTTTGTTCTCATTGCATCTCCTTTTTCTCAGATAAATGTTCACAATGTAATTTTCCTTATATTCAGACAGTGTTGTCGATCATCAGAAAATAATGCCTGATAATACTCAAGTGAACTATATTGTGCTTTGTAAATATATGGTACATTTTCCTCTATATTCAAAATAATTTTTTGTTTGTATGTTTTTGTTTGTTTGTTTTGAGACAAAGTCTTGGTCTATTGCCCAGGCTGGAGTGAAATGACACGTTTTTGGCTCACTGTAACCTCCACCTCCCAGGTTTAAGGGATTTGCCTCAGCCTCCCCAATAGCTGGGATTACAGACATGCAGCACCACTCCCAGCTCATTTTTTGTATTTTTAGTAGAGACGGGGTTTCACCATGTTGGCCAGACTGGTCTTGACCTCTTGACCTCAAGTGATCCACCCGCCTTGGCCTTCCAAAGTTCTGGGATTACAGGCATGAGCCACCACACGCTGCCACAAAATAATGAAGAATTATTTTGTAATACTTAGATTATAGTCCAGCTTGTCTTTCAGTTATAGAAAAATCAGAAATCCTCACTCTTAAACTGTAGTTGTCTGATAAATGTTCACTTCATCTCTAAAACTTAATTTGTTCCTGAAAATAAAAAGTAGTTTACTAACTGATCAAGTGAGAAGTTCATAAAAATTCATTCAAACACGATTATAATTGCTACAACAGCAGTGTTCTGTGTCTTTGTTTCTATTTTAAGTTTTTTAGTAGCTAGGAAAATAGCAATTGGTAATTCCCTTCTTATCTCAAATAGGACAGTGTTGTTTTTTTTTGTTTGTTTGTTTTTTCCACTCAACTTAGCAGCTATATTTTTTGAGTAACCACCAACCCTGCCATTCTTGACATTAATATCATCCTGTTTCTAGGTCTCATCACATACCTTTCCTTATCCATGGACTAGGTGGCCTATTCTTGCTAAT